CCGACATCGTCATCATCATCATCAGCGTCATCATCGTCATATTGTTTTATACTTTCTTTATGGTTCCTCGTTTTTCTCATCCAAATTGTGTTTCCCCCCGTCCTCTTCCTCCTCCTCGTCCTCTTGCCTCTCCTCCTCCCCCCCTCCCATCCCCACGGGCGGCGCGGCACGCGCGAGAGAAAACACGACGACGATGGACCACTGACGATGGACGACTGACGACTGACAGCGCGTCCACGATTGAGATTGCATGGGGAATGACGAGCGCAAAGGCCTTCCCCCAGGAATCCTCAGGAGTCCCCAGGAAGCCGCAGGAGTCCCTCAGGAATCTCTCCAGAGTCCTTCGGAAAACCCAGAGAGTTCCTCGGGAATCCCCCAGGAGTCCCTCAGGAATCCCTCCAGAGTCTGTCAATCATCCTCAGGGGTCCGTTACAAACCATCATACGTCCGTCAGGAATCCTGCGAGAATCCTCAAGCATCCTTCTGGAATCTTCAAACATCAACGTGCATCTCCCAGGGGTCTTCGAGACTATGTCAAGAAGCTGCGATATTCCTGAGGCATTTCCAAGAATCCTTCAAGTCATTTCAGGCAACACTCACATGTTTCAGAAATCCTCACGGATTTGCAACAGTCCCGCAGGAATCTTGTTGGAACCAGAGGAATCCTCAAAGAGACCCTTATGAAATCATCCAGAGTCCGTCGTGAATCCGCGAGAGCCCCTCAGGACTCCTTCCGAAGTCCTTCAAGAATCCCCCCGTAGTCCTTCAAGAATCCTTCGGGAATCCGGGGGGGCCCGTCGAGAATACTTTTGTAATTTGGTCGGGATCTCCCACGCATCGTCAAACATCCTTTAGGTATCCTCAGGAAATTAGAGAATTTTCCGGAATCCCAAGGATCTCTTGTAGAATCCTCAGGAACCTTTTTAAGACATCTTCAAGAATCCCCCAGGAATCTGCAATAATCTTTCATCAGTCCTCAGACATCTTCCATGCAGGACCCCTTCATAATCTTTCAGACATCTTCGAGAATCCTTTTGGATTCCTGAAGAATCCTTCAGGAATCCGTAGGAATCGTTCACGAATCTTCAAGGATTGTCAGGAATCCTCCAGGACTCTTCGAAAATCTTTCCGGCATCCCCTGGAATCTTTTGGGGATCCCAGAGCGGCCTCCCAAATCTGGAAAATTCTTCCAGGAATCCTCAGGAGTCCCTCAGGAGTCCTCCAAACCCTGGGCAGGTGCAGCGAGCTTCCATTGCTGTAATCGAGCGTTCGGCTTGCATGATTACAAGTGGAACGCGTTGCGATCAGTCCGCTTCCAGTGGTTGTCATCGCTCCGAAGTGGTCGGGATCGGTCTGATTCTCGGACCCCCCCCGTGCTGTGCAGGTGGTCGCTGGCGCGCCGGGCGAGCACGAGGGCGCCCTGTTCGGCCAGCTCCAGGGCGGGGGCGCCCGCGCGCGCCTGCCTTCGGGAGAGGCTCCAGGAGGTAGCGATGTTTTCCGGAGGCGACGATATCGCAGGCCTAGAAGTTGACACCAACACCAAGATCGGCGGCGTTCCTCCACCGAGGGAAGAAGATCCCGATCTCGGTGATGGTGGTAATATTCTGGTTTCCAAGGTTGCCGAAATATTACCACCAACACCGAAATCTGGGATCACCTCCCCCCCTGTGGAGGCAGCCCTCCGTCTTGGTGTGGGTGCCCCTTTCCAGGCCTCCCACGATAGGGGCGAGTGTATCCAGAGCCTCCGATCGCCCCTGTCTTCGCCGGGGCTCCCAGGCGAAGGCGTGTGTCGCCCGCCCCGAGCTTGGAGCCTGCTGGCTTCCGTCTGGAGGGACTGGAGGGACCCCCGACCCCCTCGAGTCATGAAAAAATCACGACGGAAGGTTTTTCTATATTTTCCGCTTCTGGGGGCCCTTGCCGGCCTTCGGGACCGTCAAAAAACAGCTCAGGATGAAAAACCCGTCCCGGCGAACAGGTCCGGACCTCTTTGGGGTCGCGTCATAAAGAAATCATGACGTCGGGGGTCTGGGACTGGAGGGTGTTTGTCGTTCCTGGAGGGCCTGCCCCGCTGCAGGGACTGCTGGACGGGACCGGCCGCCGTTCGTGTGGGTCGCTCCCGGAGGGACTGCCCCGTTGGATGGGGCAGTGCGGGAGGGCGCCGGTCCCCGCCCCGATTCACAAGTGTTCCAGGCGAGACAGAGCTGCGCTCGAGAGATCGAGGGAGGGGAGGGAGGGGGGTTCGGGGGCGGCTGCAGGAGGGAAGAGAGGGGGAGGGAGGGAAGGGGAAGTGGGAGGGGCGGGAGGGGCGGGAGGGGCGGAAGGATGGTGCTGGTTGTGGTGGTGATGGTGATGCTGATGGTGAGGGGGATGATGTCAATGATGATGGTGGTGGTGGTAGTGGAGATTGTGATGATAATGGTGGTGGTGGTGATGGTGTTGATGATGATGCTGATGATGGTGATGATGGTGATGATGATGATGATGGTGGTGGTGGTGGTGGTGATGATGGGAGAGGTGATGTTGCTGGGCTGGTTATGGTGATGATGGTGCTCACGGTGATGGTGGGGGTGATGGTCATGGTGAGTGTTGATGATGCTGACGATGATGGTGACGATGATGATGATGATGCTGATTATGATGATGGTGGTGGTGGTTGTTGTGGTGGTAGGGTGATGGTGGTGGTGGTGATGATGGTGATGATGGTGATGATGATGATGATGATGATGATGATGATGATGATGATGATGATGCTAAGGCTGATGCTGCTACTGCTGCTGCTGATGCTGAGGCTGCTGATGATGGTGGTGATGGGGACGGTGATGGTGGTGGTGTTGATAATGCTGTTGGGCTGATTATAATGATCATGATTGACATGGTGATTGTGATGGTGATGGTGATGGTTACATCGCTCTCAATGCTAGACCCTGGGTGTGGTTGGTATATTCGGCCGATTTTGCGTTGGCATGTGCGCGGCATGTGCCCGGCATGTGCACGGGTCTTTTGGTTTGGATGTCCTATTGTCCTATGTTTTTTTGTCTTTGTCTATTGCTCCCATTTGCTAGGTCCGTCCTCCTTTGCATGCTGGTGCGATATGCAGCCGCGGGGGATTATATCTGTCTGTTTGTCTTGCTTCCGCCCCCCTCTCTCTCCTTCCTCTTTCTCCCCCCTCCCCTCTTCCTTGACAAGCACCTGCGCCAACTCATACGGTTGGGACTTTGAACTGTTCCCACCACGGTCAGGTGTAGCAGTGTGGTGGTGCTAGTCGTTGTCATGCAGTGTTTCGGACAGTGTCGAGCGTGGCCGACACTCGGGAGCGAGAGTCCGTTCGGGCAGGGTTTCGGGGTCTGCCTCACGGGCACGGTGAGAAAATCACCGGGTCGGTGTGAGCTGCTTCGCCGGAGCGTATCAAGAGGAGGAAGAAGAAAACAAATTAAAAACATGCGCGCCCAGGCATGTGCAGGGTCCTGCGCGTTGTGTTTGGTGCACCATTTGTTTGCACATGCCCGCACATGCCGGCGCGCATGCCTGCACATGATTGCACATGCGGAAGGTGTGCGATGATTGTAGATTTGCCAGCGGCACCTGCGCGTACATGCCTGCGCAATCCTTCTGCGGATGATTGCATGGGCCCGCACATGCAAGTACATGCGTTGAAACGCGCGTCCGCCAATGCTCGCATATGCCGACGCACGTGCCCGCACATGCCTTCGGAGTTGCCTGGGGTCCCGAGAAAAGCCTCCCGTGCTTCGTGGCCTTCGCAGAGTTCCCGGGGGCTTGCCAGGGCTTCCCGCAGCTTCCTGTGGCCATGCGGGGGCCCGGTGCCGTACATGATGAGAGATCTTGCGCGCTTGACCCGCCCGTAGCTGATGGGAACGGTTTTTCGCCCGCTGGTCACGTCTATGTGATTCACCTTGTCTCGCCCACTGGCCGTGCAGAGCTTGTTGGCGCGCCCTGTTTAAATCCTCTTTCCCGCGTGCTGCTTGGCTCGGCCGGAGAAGGAGGAGGAGGAGGAGGAGGAGGAGGAGGAGGAGGAGGAGGCAGGACTGGGAGTTTTCTGCGTTTTCCAACTTGGCGTCGGGGAGCGCCCGATCAAGTCGGTTCTTCCTTTCGAGTTGGTTCCTCCTCGTCATCCTCACCCTCCTTTCCCTCCCGCTTTGCTCGTGGCGCCTCGTGTCAAGCCAGAGGCAGAGAAATCATGGTAAAAAACAGATGTTTCAGGTCAGAGGGCCATCAACTCCGGTAAAAATCACGTTTTCTGGTTCTTCATGTTTTTGGGAATATATGCGCGCTTGAGCTGATAGATTCACAAAAACTTCAAGCACCTGAAAAAAAAACATGTTTTTTTACAGGGTCTGCTGCCCTTTGACCTGAACACATGTTTTTACAATGGCTTGTGAACCTGAAAAGGCTCCCTGGCCAGTGGCGGGAGGGGACCCAGCAAGGGAACCCAGGAAAAGGACCCAGGAGGGGACCCAGCAAGGGACCCAGCAAAGGGACCCAGCAGGGGGCCCAGGAGGAGACCCAGCCAGGGGACTCAGCAAGGGACCCAGCAAAGGGACCCAGCAGGGGACCCAGGAGAAGATCCAGCCAGGAGACCCAGCAAGGGACCCAGCCAGGGGACCCAACAGGGGACCCAGGAGGAGACCCAGCCAGGGGACCCAGCAAGGGACCCAGCGAAGGGGCCCAGCAGGAGACCCAGGAGAAGACCCAGACAGGGGACCCAGCAAGGGGACCCAGGAGAGAAATCCAGGAGGGGACCTATCGCAGCTCTGGGGACAGCCAGAAGAAAATAGCTTTGGTTTCCTGCGCGGCCCACGCCCCAGCCCTGGCCCCCAGCAGCGACGCCACGGAAGCAACCGACAACTGAGGAACCCCTAAAATGGGTTCCCAGCGTTGCGCCTGAAAACGCCGCCAACGAGTTCAATGTGTTTTAGTGTTTGCCGTTGGCTTCGGATGGGGGCCGCGCGACGCTACGCAATGATATGCAATGCTGCTGCGATATGTTGCGCCAGTCGGGGCTATGCCGCGCGCGCGTGCTTCTCGCCCAGGAGACCTCGCGGGCGGAGTGGTTGAACGTTGCTGCGATCGCGTGCGCGGCAGCTGTTGTGGCCCGAGAATCCGCCGCGCTCTCGCGCTATGCACGCCGTGCCAGCTTATCCCTGCGTCAATGGCGTTCGAATTTGCTGTCTTGCAGAACTGTCGCCCAGGCTCGCCAGTGCCCCCAGATTTCCTTTGTTCCAAGCTGAGCGACATGCAGTCCTTTCGCCTGCTGGCTGGCGAGGACTGACGGTTCGAGTCTCATTGGCGTCACAAACACCGAGGGGGGCGGGTGGTGGTGGACTCATGCGGTTTAGAGCATCCCCCGAGGACCGCCTGCACATTTCTGTCGACGGGTGGCCCAGCTTCAAGCACTTCAACAGGGGCCCCCAGCACTTCATCGTGGCGGGGGTCGCGGGCCCCCTGTGGGTCACATCCGACCCGAATCTGTTGTCGATCATCATTCGCCCTTACAGGGATTTTATCGTGGATGTCGCCTGCATCTGGCACGATCGCCCTGTGCCCGACGCAGCGTCTGATCGCCTGCACTGTGATCGACCGATCGAGGTGCTGTCGGACGTAGGCCGATCGACCGATTTCGCGGGGGGCACTAGCGGATCGATGAAGTTGCGGGGGCGGCACAGTGCGTCATGTGCGTTCGGGCACTGAGGCCCGCTTGTGCGACCTTGTCTTCACCTCCGAGCACAACGACATCTGGTTCCACACTGCGGGCTGGGTTGCAACGTGGAAGGCAATCGAGAGGGGTGCGCAGACATATTTGGGCTTGCCCCCGCACCGCCACCTTGCATTCATGGCGGCGCACCCGGGTTTGAACGCGCAGCGGGCCAGCAACGGCGAGCGCGTCGGCCCGCCCTTCGGGCTGCGGCCGTGAGCCGTTTTCCATTCGCGCAGGCCGACCGATTGCAGGGTGCGCGGGCTGCGAACGTCAGTGTACAGTTGGCGCGCGCCATTGTCATCCGATAGGCAAAAAAAACACCAACGCCTTGAACGTAATGCGCGCATGCTGTTTACATTGGTTCGAACATCCCGGGGGTGGGTGGGGTTGTAGATTTCGGCGCGCGTACCCCAGCGCAGGATCGCTCCCCCCCATGTCGCCTTCTCTCTCGCCAGCGCTGTTGCCCGCAGCTTTGTTGGTTCACGATCAAGCGCGCGCCCTCGTTGTCACCTTCGCAACGCGCCCCGGGTTTACAACAACAGCGGCTCCCGCTTGATCCTTCCTCACAATGTATTCCCAAACCGCGCTCTCGCGCGGGCATTCCTCACAAACTGTATGCAAATCGTGCTCTCGCGTGGGACTTCCTCGCAGCTTATACAGACGATGCGCCTCGGCGCTCAGGAATCTTGCTCTCCCGTTTGCTTGTTTCACGATGTAATTGGGAATCGCGCGAGACTTCCTCGCGATTCATGCAGGACCCTTGCTTCAGCAACCCGCCTGCTCGACCTGGTCGCGTGGTTCCCGACCCGCCAGCCATGGGTCTGCTCACTCGATCTGCCCGTTGCCCCCCTCCTGCTGATTTCTCTCGTGCTCCATTCTTCTCCCTCCCCTCTCCACCCGTCCTCTCTCCCCTTGTTTTGTGGCTGCGCTAAATGCACGTGGCAAGTAAGGAAGATCTACCCCCAAGGGGCACGATCGAAGACGACGAGGGCGGGTGCCGAGGGTTTGGGAAATAGTGCATTGCTTGGCACGTGAGCAGATAGGAACGATTTTTTCTTGTTGAGTCTTATATTTCTGGAGAATAATTACTGCTGATCCCTGGAAGCGGTTCTGCGCGCTCTCGCCTGGGCGCGGGTTGCATTTCTTCTGAAAACGGGGTTCCCGCTCGAGCGCGGGTTTGATTCTTAACGCGTGTCCTTGGAAGCCCGGCTACAACGACACCAGCTCCCGCTCGATATTTCCTCACAATTCACCCCGAGACACCCTGGCCAGAGAGGCCCCCGAACTCAGGAACTGCGCTCTCGCTCGAGCCTCCCTCGCAATCCAGTCAAGCTGGCACAGGCCTAGCCACGACGACAAGGTTTCTGCTAGATATTTCCTCACGATTTACTACGAGAGCCCCTTGGCCAGGAAGGCACCCAAATTCAGCAACGGCGCCCTTGCTCGAGACATTTTTTCGTGATTCAATCAAATCGGTGGAGGCCCAACTACGACGACAAGGGCTCTCGTTCGATACTTCTTCAAGATGTGTTCGCAGAGGCCCTTGCAAGAGAGGCCCCCGAACTAAAGAGTTGCGCTCTCGCTCAAGAGTTTCTCGTATTCGGGTAATTTGGTGGAGGCCCAGGCACATGACGATGCGGATGATGATGCTGGTGATGATGATGCTGATGATGATGATGATGGTGATGGTGATAGTGATGATAATGGTGATAATGATGGTGCTGTTGATGATGATGATGCTGATGGTGATGCTGATGATGATGCTGCTGATGATGATGGTTATTATGATACTGGCGACGACAATGGTGGTTATGGTGGTGATGATGACGCTGCTGATGATGATGATGATGAAGAGGAGGAGGAGGAGGAGGAGGAGGAGGAGGAGGACGACGACGACAAGGAGGAGGAGGAGGAAGAACAAGAGGAGGAGGAGGAGGAGCAAGAGAAGGAGGAGGAGGAGGAGGAGGAGGAGTTGGAGGAGTAGGAGGAGTTTGAGGAGGAGTTGGAGGAGGAGGAGGAGGACGAGGAGGAGGACGAGGCGGCGAAGCAAGAAGAGGTTGGAGGATGCCTTTCGCAGCCGCGCGCCCGCCCTCCCTCCGGCGCGCGCGTTCACGCGCCCAGGCGGCCAGCAGGTCCTCCTGTCCTCCCCCGCCGGGGGCCTCGCGGCGGAGCTGGTGGTCCCGGGCTACAACGAGCAGCCCAGGACGCCGCTCGGCGGCGCCCCTTCGGGTCGTGGTCGAGGGAGGGCCTCGATACAGTGGAGGCCCATGCCAAGAAACACCCTGCTTGCCTCCATGGTGCCCTCTGCTTCTTGGGTTTTGATGGTCTTGCCATGGGAAGCGTGACGTTCCCACACCAAAAACCGATGGACGTCCTGGGGTCTCAGGGTTGTTTTTTTTGTGGAAGGTTTCTTGTGGACTGGCCTCCACTGTATGGTTCGCGGAGCGGAGGGGGAGGGGGGCAGGGGAGTGGAAGAGGGGGGAGGTTGGATGGGGTCGACGAGGGTCCTCGACGACGGTGGGAGCCGGCGGGGGCGGGAGAGGGGGGCAAGGGGAAGGGGGAAAGGGGAGGGGAGAATGGGGGCGGAGGCAGCAGGGAGAGGGGGGCGCCCGCCCGTCCGCGCGCCCTCCCCTTCCGCCGTGGGGCGGGGAGGGGCGCGCGACGGAGGGCGTGCCCCCGCGGCGAGGAGGGGTCCTATGGGAGACGGGCACGGCTTCGGGACGGCGCTTCCTCCCTTCTCGTCCCTTCGCTGCGCGGTCGAGGCGCCTCCGCGCCGCCGTCCTCCTCTTCCTCGTCCTCGTCCTCGTCCTCGTCCTCCTCCTCGTCCTCCTCCTGCTCCCCCTCCTCCACCATTCCTTTTCCCTTAAAAATAACTTCTCCCTGTCGCACCCCGAGGCCAGTTTTTTCGGCGGGTTTGGCGTTTCGCCCGAGACTTCGAGGGCGGGTCGTTTTCAACATGTGGCTCTCGCCTTAGCGCCGCGCACATTCGTTGTGAACATGTGCAAGAGCTTCACGGATTGAGGGCGGGTCGTTTTCAAAATGTGGCTCTCGCTGTAGCGCCGCGCACAGTCGTTTCAAACATGTGCAAGAGCTCCGCGGATTGAGGGCGGGTCGTATTCAAAATGTGGCTCTCGCTTTAGCGCCGCGAACATTCGTGTCTTTAAAATTTGCAAGAGCTTCACGGATTGAGGGTGGGTCGTTTCCAATATGTGTTTCTCGCTTTAGCGCCGCGCACATGCGTTTAAACATGTGCAAGAGCTTCGCGGATTGAGGGCGGGTGGTTTTCATCATGTGTTTCTCGCTTTAGCACCGCGCACATTCGTTGTGAACATGTGCAAGAGCTTCACGGATTGAGGGCGGGTGGTTTTCATAATGTGGTTCTCGCTTTAGCGCCGCGCACATTCGTTTTGAACATGTGCGAGAACTTCAAGGATTGAGGGCGGGTGGTTTTCACAATGTGGTTCTCGCCATATGGCCGCGCACATTCGTTTTAAACATTTGCCATAGCTTCATGGATTGAGGGCGTTTCTTTTTGAACATCTGACTCTCGCCTGAGCGCTGCGCGCATTTGTTTTAAACATATGCAAGAGTGCCACGAAGTCCCATGATCAACGTACCAGGCATGGTATTTTGGAAGGATTCAGGATTATGCAGGCGCAACAGTTATGTTGATTCGCGGTGCCGAAGTCCCAGACATGGCGTTTTGGCGCGAGTCCAGATCGTCAGGACGCAGCAGTCAGGTTGATCCGTGGCGTGGGAATCCCGAGACCAATGTTCTGGCATGCTTCTAGGTCTTCAAACCGTTGTCTTCCAACGAGGCAAGTTGTAGGGGCTTATGAGGTTAGAGGGAGGGTTAATTCCAACATCGTTGGCGGTTCTTGGGTTTACGCTGGTCCTCCTCCTCCTCCTCCTCCTCCTCCTCTCCCTCCTCATCCTCCTCCTCCTCCTCCTCCTCCTCCTCCTCCTCCTCCTCCTCCTCCTCCTCCTCCTCCTCCTCCTCCTCCTCCCCTGCGCGGTGCACCGCCTTCGCAGCGCGGTCGAGGCGGAAGGGTCGTCGCATGCTCTGCAGCCGCTTGCTGCGTGGGCCGTGCCAAACCTCCGTGACGGGTGGGCGCATTCCCGCGGCGAACGCCCGCCCGCTCGCGCGCCTGGCGGGGCGATGGCGTTTGACGGGGGGTGCGTCCTCGCGGAGGGGATGGGTCGTATGGAAGGCGGGCAGGGCTTCGGATTTGCATTTGCCTTGTATCTGTCTGGTCGTAGCACAGTCGGGACAGCGAGCGGGTCATCGCGCTTCTCGCAGCCGCTGGCTGCTCGGGGGCAGGCCGCGCTGGCTTCCAGCGAGGTCCGCCTGGGCGCGCCTCACAGGACGCCCCCTCAAAGCACGTTGGCCTCGCGGCACGCCTCGCAGGCACCCGCGCGCGATGCAGCCGCGCGCCCGCATGGTGGGTCGGTCTTCCAGCATGTCGCAGCTTTCCTCCACGGGGGCGACGAGGACGGGGGCGACCGAGCCGCCGGAGGCAGGGTGGCAGAAGAACGCCAGGGATATCTTTGCCATCAGATTCCCCTGGGGAGTGCTCTTGAGTTGGTTTTGAAGGAATTTGATGTGTCCCTTATGCCCCCTACTTCCTGAGTCTCCTCCATACTGTTTCCTTCATCCGCAGCGTCAGTCAGAGTGGCGCTCGCATCAGAGTCAGCTGCGGCAGCAGCAGCACCTGCCAGAAAGGGGGCGATGTTGCGAGTTATGGTTCTGATGTCATCATGCCGTCGCTCGTCATACCTTGCCCTCCTTCTCCTTCTCCTGTTCCTCCTCGTCCTCTTATTACTCTTCTTTCTCCTCCTCCTCCTCCTCCTCCTCCTCCTCCTCCTCCTCCTCCTCCTCATCTCCCTGATTCTCCTCCTTCTTCTCTTCGCATTCTTCGTGTTTTCTATTCCTCCACCTCTTTCTACTCCACCTCCTCCTGGTCGATTTGCTATATTGGAGTTCGTCCGAAAGAGCATTGACTGGATCGTCGGTGTACTCATTTGTAGCATGCGGCTTCTGGCGGGATGTCTCAGGCGATTCGGCCGTGTTTGACGATCCTCTCTGTGGTTAATATTTGTCGGATGGCCATGCTTCGAGCGTCAATTAGATGGACCAGCAGTTTCCCAGAACAACGGAGCAGCCTCGCGGCACGAGCGCGTCGATCTTTCAGCGTCATCCTCCTCTTTTTCTCCTC